TTTACCTCAATTGTATTCATTTCTGTCCAGGATGTGGTTTCACCGACCTTTAAGAGCTGACGACTGGCTGTTATTTGTAGTAAGTGTAATGAATGAAGTATTCCATTTTCAGTTTTGAATATGCTCAAGATATACTAACAGAAGCATAAACAGATACAATCACCTACTGCCTACAATGCTCGCGGTTTCGTTTCGGGTGAAATGTTCAACCAAAAGGGCGAGGTAACGAAGCTAACTATCATATTTTCTCCCCTCTTTTTCTCTCTGTTATGTCAGGAACTGAATTGTGCAAATAATGAACAGCTTGTCGTGTCGTTGACTCAAGAAGGGCTGCTTCGGAAGGCGAGATTGCCAGAACCCGCACCGACCTCGAAGTTATGAAGTGTGTCATCGAATGTGGTAGCCTTCAATCTATACACTAATCTACTTATCTATATCAATTTTGAAGTCCCAACTTTGTGGATCAGCCATGGATGGTAGGTGGATAAAAGAAGTTCGTAGAAGCCATAAATTTCTCTTTTCATAATAATTTTCCCATTGTGTGTTTTTCTAAAACCATTCTAATAATTCATAATAATTTTAGAGAAGTATAGACAGAAGATCAAAGTTATGGTATTTCGTGTTTATGTGATGATGTAATAATGTGTCTCCTCTCTCAATCTTATTTTTAGTTCATTTATGTGTTTTTTTTATTATAATTCTTACGTTAAGTGGATTCATGTTTGGATAGTAAAAATGGTAGATTTGAAGTACAAACCTCTATATTGTAAAAGTACTATAATTTATGGGAAATACTTTTGATGTTTTATCATAGCTACATTTGATCCATATTTTTCAAAATATAATATTTTTGAGTTTGAGTCTTATTTGGTTATCTTTTAAGTAGTTATAAAATTATTTTTAAGTATCGTTAGAGAATAAATAATAAAAAATATAATTATGAAATTAAATAAAAATAAAAGGGATAAATGTATGTTTTAAAATTATTCAATCTAGTTTTAAGAAATTCTATAAACTAATTCAATCCACAAAATTTTCAATTATTTTAACTCTATCCAAATAAGTTTATATCCCAATCCAAATCACAGGAAGCTTATTTTTACCACGATTAGATCCTGATGTTCGGTTAAGTTCAAGATTATGATTATAATCACAGGAAACTTATTTTTTGTTCATAAATGATATCGATAGTAGCAAGCTGCGCTGGCTGAGATAAGAACAAGGGGATGAGAGGGAAGGGGGAGGTAAAAAAACATTCAGAGAAGTTGAAGGAATAGAAGAAAAACCTCCTAGTTCAACATTTTTCAAGAATATTATACATCAACAAAAGCAAAACTAATGTCTTCAATAACGTTATACACAATATGTTATGTTACATATCAGCATTGCAATTGTAAAGAAATAAACTACTTTCACACCAACACGATGTAAGGCGAGATGTTTTTTATCAGTCAAAAGCAGATATCTCCCATGCTTCCTCGGTCCACTTACCGAAGAATATAAAGGGAAGAATTGGAGTTAGAGCTAGTTGGGTCGGGATAAAGAGTCAGTAAGCGCGGCGGGTACACCTCTAACTAAATAATTGTATTGCACTCAAGATCCCCTTGTAAAGTAATTTGCCACAAAAGTAACTAGTAGGCATACCAGTAGTGAAATTCAGCTAGCTTTTCTCCTTTTGAATGCAGGATGAATGGACCCATTATAAGAATCCAAATTGTCAATAGTTGAAATACAGTCCTTCATCCTCTTCAGAACTGCAGGAATCATAGAGATATTACTTGATATTTTATCTTTGAGCAATTGTATCTTCTTTTCTGTTTCTAAACCCTCGTCATGAAGGACCGTTCCTTCACTTATCTTTGAGCAATTGTATCTTCTTTTCTGTTTCTAAACCCTCGTCATGAAGGACCGTTCCTTCACCTCTTGTGATTTGTTGTTCATCATCTGCATAACAAAATGATTTGTCAGTCAGACCGTACAGCTGAGTATATAAATCCTATATGTATCATCAGAATAACTCTTCATTACCACCAGACACACTAACATTGTCACACAAGTACATCCTCGGAGTAAACTCACGATCGAGTCCAAAAGGTTAATATTTGCTTTTTGAAAAAGATCGTAGGTTGGCGTAATCAATCAGAACATGCGAGTCCAAAAGGTTAATATTTGCTTTTTGAAAAAGATCGTAGGTTGGCGTAATCAATCAGAACATGCACGAATTATCGAAGCGCTCACGAACCATAAATATAATATAACTAAAGTAGAGATGGCATAAAGACTTCTGCAGACCATTGAAATAGAGAATCAAAAGGAACACAAAAGCAGGGGAATGAGCAATCCACCCTAAAAGCTAAAAGCTATTTCACGAAAAAAAGGACCTCGATCAACATAAATACAAGAGGCACTAGAGTCACAAAAATAATAAGATTAAGGGTACACGAAAAAGCTAACCATCTGGCTAAATCCTTGTCTTGAAAAGTCCTAGAATTCTCTGACTCGGAGCTATCATAGGACAGCCGAAATTCGTTAGCTTAGAGTAAGAACTTTGACTTTGTTTTTCAAATTGTGATACAATAGCTGCATTAGAATATTTGCTACCGAAAGGAATAACTACTAAAGTCGATACACTCACCCCGAAACAGCAAGAACAACCTACCTAGTGAAACACTTTGTGTAATTTTCAGAATTGGCCAAAAAGATCCACAAGTAGTGATGAGCAGCCTTACTAAACTCACTTGAAACATAGATTGTAAACGTAACACATTGAAGTATCATCACAATCAACAATTTTTTTGCAATTGTCAACAATTTTAAAAACTGCAACCAACAGAAGGACAAGACAGAAGGAAAACAATTTTTTTGCAATTGTCAACAATTTTAAAAACTGCAACCAACAGAAGGACAAGACAGAAGGAAATGAAACAGAAATACAGTTTGGAACACTACAGGAAAAGAACAAGAAAAACTGAACAAAAAAATGAAATATAATTATATCAACGAGCTTCTCATATACGATGAAATCGATAAATGAAAGACCCAATTGAATGAAATATAATTATATCAACGAGCTTCTCATATACGATGAAATCGATAAATGAAAGACCCAATTGAAATGACTTTCTAAGTACTTAAAAAATATTGCACACTGAAACAGTTCACTACAGTTCACTAGTCCTAAAATAGTCATTCTACATCTTAAGCTGAATGCTCCAGAAAGGCATGCTCAAAAACTGCCGTTGGATACATAAATTTAGCTCAAAAGCCAACAAAATAGGAGTATTTGAACTTAATCCCCCCATCCTGAACCAGAATTGCAAATCAAATCAGTGAGAAGAACAGGTAGCAATTCCAGATCAAAAAAATTAGAACTAATTGTATTCCATTCGCCCTAATTAAACACTTCAAAAAGCGTTTAGAAACCAACCCCTTGGCACAGAATTCCCAAACAGCAAACTCATTCACTTCAAATCAAAAAGCGTTTAGAAACCAACCCCTTGGCACAGAATTCCCAAACAGCAAACTCATTCACTTCAAAGAAGCATATACCTAATAGAACAGCATAATTTCAGATTTCTTTCAATTCATTTTCACAGAGAAAATCTACAAGTTCGGAGAAAGAAAGAAAACACAACCCACCTTCATGGTTCGGAGGAACAGATATTCAAATCTACAAGTTCGGAGAAAGAAAGAAAACACAACCCACCTTCATGGTTCGGAGGAACAGATATTCCCGGCTCCGAGGCTCCGAAGGCAACAGGCCTCGCGGACTCGAGTAACGAAATGAAGGAGGACTTTAGTTGAGCAGAGAGAGTGGATCTGTAGTGAAGAATCCTCTGAGCCATTTGGTTTACTTCAAGCTCGAGCTCCTCATGCTCAGAATCGGGCTCCATTTCTTCGGATTCAAATCCAGAAACCCCGGTGTCTTCACCGGGTTTGTCGAAGGACATGTTTCAGTTTACATCCACAGCCAGTTTCTACAGAAATAGGATTGGAAGTTCAGAGCAACGAAATTCAGTTGTGTGTTCGAAACGAATGCGAATCTTGGGATTTCGGAGGGCAATGGATTTCGAAATTTGAATGTTCAACGTGTGAAATCGACTGCAAGAGAAGAGAGAGAGAGAGAGGGCGTGCAGCCCGAGCCGACCAGGCGGGTCTTAAAGCTTGATTGGGCACCCGCCAAGCCTATAAATGATGAAGCTTGAACATGACCCATTGGGCCTAGTCGGCCTATCTTAAGCCCAGCCCACAGTTATTTTAATATATTTTTTTTTTAATTTTGCATATTCATTATTCCATTTAAATGTCTAAAACTATATTCTAGCTTCCCTAAACCAATTAAACTATATTCTATATTCTAACTTTTTATCATTTATTTTATTTTTTTTTTGAAAAATTATTCGCCTTTAGTTTCTTTAAAATATATATATATATATATAAAGGTAATTTAAATACAAATTTGTTACTGTTTTGAAAATCATTTCAAACTCATTTTTAATTATAGTCTCTCGATAATTTATACAATTTTAATCATCCAACTCATGAACTTCATCCTAAAATGACGAAAACATGAACGGATGAAGGAATCCATCTTTNAAAAAAAAAAAAAAAAAAAAAAAAAAAAAAAAAAAAAAACATGAGTTAGTGTAAATATAACTAAGAAATTATGACATCAACACCTTCCCTTATGAGTATGAAGGTCATATCTACCCCATATCTTTAAGAAAACATTGAAAAACTTTGTAAATGTCTTCCCTTTTGGCCAAGATTTCCTTCCTTTCATATTCAGATCCACTACCCATACGAACCCCTACCCAATAGTTATATGTTGTAAGTCGTTGTTGTTGTCTTTTTGCTTGCATCACATATAATACAAATTTCAATCTCTCAAATCTTGCTTTCAAAACTCTTTTTCGAAATTTCTCTGCCCCTTTTCTAAAACTTTCTTCTTGAACCAGGGTTAGAGACTCGAGCATACATCGTTTGGCCGTAGGCAACGCAAGAATAAATTAACTTAACTTACTTCTTGTTGGGAAGTGAGTGTCGCACAATTACAAGGATAAATCATCTCCATACATGCCAAGGAGGTTTAAAAAACCTACTCCATTTGACACTAAGAATGACTACAACTACAATTTTATACTTTCGTTAAGTCGAGAATACCTCAATCAATAAGGTACCAATTACTATCTCATAAATCAGATCAATGGTTCAATCCCCACTCTCACACAATTATGGTACTAACAAAATTTAATCTGAAGAAGAAAGCTTTTCATAAAAGAAAACATTGTTAGAAAGAAATTTCTTCTTTCCTTCAGAAGTATTCCTGCACAAAAATCGAAAAGAGTCTACTTGATTGTTCTTGGGAAGCACCATTGAATTCCAAATATGTGTAGAGAAAAATTATATTCAGAAAAATAAGTGTTCTAAAGTTTCACTCTTAACTTCTGCTAAGGGTGCACCAGCAGCTAAGGAGATATTCAAATTTGATTAAAACTCCCAAATCAGATCATCTCTCTCACTAAGCACTCCCTATACTTTCATTCGAAGCTCTGAAATTAATTTACTAAATGAATTTGGTAATACCCAATTCATTAAACGTCTCAGCATCTAACAAACTGCACTATTCAACTCCTCCAGAAGCTCTACTCATGCTTTATCTTAACCTAAGCTTTAAGAAACGTATAAGCAAAGACTGCAAACTCGATATATATATATATATATATATACATAAAAAGGTAACTAAATCCTCAAGTCTACTTACAATGGATCGTCCTCGACACCATTGGAGCCGAGCTTCTCTCGCCGACGTTCTTGGTATTGATTATTCTATCCAAATATGTAACCCTTAGTAGTTTTTTATCCACCCTCCCAAATTATACCATAAGAATTCAAAATAATATGAACATGTTCTATGAAGTTGGAAATTTGATCAAACACCAATCAAGCATATAAGAACCGGTAGATGACTAAATTGAAATTTCTATAATGTAAAAGTACGACTATGTTAACTTGTCACTTAAACCAATATTATTCATTGGCTAAATGCTAAACCTTCTTGCTTCTAGCTGTATAGAAATGGAAACTACACTAATTACCCCTGCCTCTCATATCTCACTGCAATAGCAAGAGATTATGAGCGACAAACAAATCTAGCAAGACTTAAATTTCATTGAAAGCGTTGACAAAAAGATTGAAACACAAGTGTTAGATGAACACGATTCTCCACAATGGTATGATCATTCCCTAAATTAGTCGATGTGGGACTTTCATCATCCAACACCTCCCCTCAAACAAAGTACGCCTCCCCTTAATCGAAGCTCGACTCCTTTTTCTTTTGGAGTCCTTTGTTCGACATTTGAGGATTTACCAATCTATTGGCACGACTAAGTTTAGGACATGACTCTAATACCATATTAGATGAACACGACTCTCCACAATGATATGATATTGTCCACTTTAAGCATAAGCTCTCATGGCTTTATTTTGGGCTTCTCAAAAAGCTTCATGCCAATGGAGATAGTATTTCATGAATATAAACTCATGATCATTCTTTAAATCATCCAACAACAAGAACAAATAACAATGATTAAACAAAATCAATATGAATCCACAAACTACAGATCGTCAAATTTACACCACAATCAATGCTAATTTCATAACTTAAACACAGACTGATAATGAATGTAGAAAACCTAAGTTCTGCACACTAAAATCAAGTAAAAGACGAAATATACAATGACTTAGATTAGATGGTAAAAAAAAATTAAGAACGATAACTGACAGTGAAATACGATTGAAATCGAAGTGCCACAAAACTTGAACTAATCTAGTACAACTTGCTTACAAAAACATGAAATCGATTAACTAGATGAACTCAATCAGATTTCTTTCAATTCATTTTCAGCCAGAGAAGAATGCTGATAAGATGAACTCAATCAATCACTAGATAAAGGAATCTATAATAGAGAAACAAAATCACATTAGTGAAACACAAAAAATTCAATGCGATAACAAATCCGTGTTATATTGCACGATAACAATCCCTGGACTACTAAAACGTAAAACACAATCAACTTAGAAACTAGCCAACTTAAAATCCAAGATCCTACTGCTTTCTCCTACGATTTTCTTAGCGACGAAGCAGATAATAAAAAATTTCAGGGAGAGATGATCGAAGGACTCACAGAATCGAGAAAATTGAATTGAGGACCATACTTAGCGGTTATGAGAAAATATGAAGCAGCGACGGTGGCCACCAAGCTGTTCTTCTCAGCAACTTGCCTGTTCGTGGATTCATCATTTCTGTTCCCTCAATCGCTTCAACCTCTCAATTTCGAAGTTATCCGCTCGAACGAAAAAACAAATGTGTGTTTGGATTCCGAGAAACCACTGAAAATGTTCTCATTTTTATTTNAAAAAAAAAAAAAAAAAAAAAAAAAAAAAAAAAAAAAAAAAAAAAAACTCAAAATCTTCTCATTCATATAATAGAATTTTGAGTGAACAATTATTTTATTTAGATAATTTTAAATTGATTTTAATGAAATATTCATTGCAAAATGGCATAATTTTAAATTTTTAATAAAAATAAAATTTTAAAGCTAAACACAAATTCAAATAAAATATTGGTAACTGTATCAAATAGTATATTTTCTAAATTTGGTATTTATTATTTAAAAAATTCAATTTCACAATTTAATTCTCATTATTGTACTAAAAATTTAAATAAGTTCATAGAAAAATAAGTTAATAAAAATTTATGTTTATTTAAATAATTTATTTCGAGTAACATTAAAAATTAATAAGTGATTTTTTTATATATAATTTTGGAGAGAGGGAAAAAAAAAAAAAAAAAGGGAGAGAGAGAGGAAAAAACAGCATGGGCCAACCCGGTTTGGTATAAGAATACCTCAGTGCAGTTGCTGAGTAAATATCGGGTTAGGGTTTAAGAGAACGTTGACCTGCGGCAAATCGAGGAGATTTCCGGCGGCCGGGCGCAACAAAATGTCGAAGAAAAATAATCTTTCGCGCAGGAAGAATCAACATGAATTCGACCTTCGAAGTAACTTTTAATGTTAAATTAATTGCTCAAATCATTTGTTTGTTCCAATTGATTCACTTTTTCGTGGTTCTTATGCTAATGTTTTTCCACGGGCGGATTGATTAGGGGAGAAACAAGAAAAAGAAAAGGCCGCGAAAAAGCTCCAAGCAAAGAAGAATAAGATGAAGGTATCGCTCTCTCTTTATCTCTGTATTGAATCGAGAAAAGTGGAATTTTCTGTTTTGCTGATTTAAAAAAGAAATTGAGAGTTATGGAGAGAGATGGATTATTGTCTCTGTTTTGATTTTCACTTGGTAATTTGGAAATTTGATCGTACGAGTAATGTTCTAGTTTTCACACATCATGATCACAAAACTCTCGAGAGATGCGTTCGTTAGGATGAATAATGGAGAGAAAAGTATAATGGCCAGTGACTGTGAGGCCCCAGTAGACTGGAGAGGACACCAAAGGCCTCTGCTCTTCCATCTCTTGGATAGATAGAGAGGGAAGGCGGAACTTGTTTAGGTTTTTCCGGTGTCCAAGCTTGCCTCACAGATATATTAGAAATGATACCTTGGGGCGGAGCTAAAGCTAAGCAAAGGCCTCTACTCTTCCACCCCTTGGATAGATGGAGAGGGAAGGCAGAACTTGTTTATGTTTTTTCAGTTTTCGAGCTTGCCCCACAGATATATTAGAAATGATACCTTGGGGTGGAGCTAAAGCTAAGCAAATAGTTTCTGCTCCAAGAATAGATCACTCTGTTGGTGGTAGTAAGAGATATGAATCTGTCTTCCCACTGTGTGATTTTTTGAGCAATTGGCCAACTGTGGACGAATATCAAATTTCGTTTGCCTTTTCTGAACACGTCCGTGTATGTTAATACCATTCGAAAGTCTCATTGTTTTCGTTTAATTATGTGCATAGGTTGATGGTAGTGGAAAGAAAAAGAAGGGTGGAGCTGGGTTTCAAGTTGGGAAGAAAAAAGTGAAGACTAAGTTGACTGCAGCGGCAAAAGCAAAAGCAGCCCAGGCAATGGAACTTGATAAATGAGGTTTGATGTGTATATTTTTAGGGACCTGGATTGATGAATGGATATATTTATTTCTTGTGATCTGTAACAGAAAGAAAGTTCTTAATTTCTAGTAAACTTTGATCTTCCACTTGCCTTCTCTCTTGATTTCTGATCTCTTGATTGCCCGAATTCGAATCTGATAGATTGAGGATGTTTATATTGATATACTATGTGGAGTAATTTCATATTTGAAATGGGTTATGAAGCCACCCCTTTGTTCTTGTAAGTTGGATGTTTCAATCTTGAAAATCTTCCCTTGAACGCTCAATTTTTGTTCGGCCAGTTTCTCCTTGTTGAAAAATCCATATTCCTTGGAATTGATTGTTGCTTCATCCTCCGGTTAACTTGATGAACTTGATGATTTGATGATTTGAACTAAGAGACATCAATCATACAATATATTTCAATGAAGATGCGAAGAAAATGTTGTTAAAATTATCAAAAGCGTTATTGTATTTCATTAATGTATTTTAAGACATTTTATTTACTTTAGGTTACATTTATATCATGGTTAATTATGACCGTAAAGTATGAATGTTACAACTCTATGCCTTTGATAGTTTCATTTTAAACTATAAAGACATTTATGTTGTATTTGTAAGCAGAATTGAAAATATAGTAAAATGAGCATTTGTGGTTTCTTTTGCCAATACTAAGTTTCTTTGCAATTCTATGTAGTTTAGGTTGCATGTAGAATCATTCAAGCTCGACATGATCAATCTTGCTTGTGGAGTGATTCGAATCTCAAACAAGTGTTCTTGCGTTGAGATATTTGATCAACAAGAATCATTCAAGCTAGACATGATCGATCTTGCTTATGGAGTGATTCGAATCTTAAACAATGTTCTTGCCTTTGAGACACATTCGATCAACAAGGTATTCCGAATCTTACTCCTCTTGTAATGATTTCCACATATCACTTGCAATCTCGTCCTTGGCAATAAGGTAGATATTGTAGAAAATCTCCTTAATTATCTAATGGAAAAGGCTGGAATAGAGAATATTCCATCAGTTAGTTGAACTGGGGAGCTTGTTTTCTCTGTCAAGAGTCTCTCTTTCTTTCTTTTTATAGGAAACAAACCATTCATTGATGAAATGAAATTACAAAAGGATGATCCTATCCAGTGGAATCTTTCTTTCTTTCTTTCTTTCTTGGGTGTTCAAACAAAAAGTAAACCCATCTTTTACCAACTGGATTGAATTATTTCTTCATGTGTACTATGTTCTAACTTGAATACATTTTTAGAATTACAATGGATTAGTGTTTTTCAACTTGAACTGGATATTGGTAATAGCTGCATTTGCAGATTCTTACGGCTTCCACATTTGAAGAAAACCCAGTGAAATCATTGCACTACTTGCACTGAAGTAATGCATTGATTGAGTGATAAAAAAAAAATTGAAGTAATTTATTCGAAGGATTTATGATTTATGTTGGCTCGTGTTATTTTGTGATAAAAAAAAAATTGAAGTAATTTATTCGAAGGATTTATGATTTATGTTGGCTCGTGTTATTTTTTTATTTTTCTTTTTAAGAGGTCAGGAGTAGTATTCTAACTCTTTAACATGTCTGGTAGAGTCTTAATTAATTGAGTTATACTCAAGTTGACGTGAATTCTTGTGTTCATCTCCCGTATTTGAGATTGAGTTCCACTCTCAAATTTATTGATTTGATCACTTCAACCGTGCTATTCTCTACGATGATTTCGTGCACTATTAAATTTATTAGGTTCATCCTTAAACTTGAAAAAAAGTTCAAAAATATCCCAATACCAAATAATGGATGGGAAAGAGATGGAAATTGATAATAATTTGTTTCAAAAATATCCTAATACTCTTAAACATTTTTAAAATTTTAAAAATANAAAAAAAAAAAAAAAAAAAAAAAAAAAAAAAAAAAAAAAAAAAAAAAAAAAAAAAAAAAAAAAAAAAAAAAAAAAAAATTACCTTAAAGAAAAATATATATGTATTTTCATCCTTATAGCGACGGTAAGAATATTTTTTAATCATGGTATTATCACATTATTATTATTTTTTTTTATTTCAGGCTAAGCCCCTCAATTTTATTTATTTTCCTCTATCTCCCCCTCTTTTTAAGGTGCAGATTAAAGACATGTTCTGGGAGGGGCTATTGTGCAACAGAAGCAGCGAGGTATGTGGCCAACCAAACAAAGGGAAGAAGACATGGTCAAAATAAATAAAATCCCAACATTGACCAAATATAGAACAACATTAAGAGCACCTAAATCACACCCCTTTTACGTGGAGGACATGTCCCTTACAATGCTGGTCACACACAACACAAAGGCTAAGTAAGGACACAATTTGGGATACCCAAAATAAAATAACTCTTCATTTCCTCCTTCANAACGATCCTCCTCTCGATCAAAAAAAAAAAAAAAAAAAAAAAAAAAAAAAAAAAAAAACAACAAACCCACAAATCTCTGACATTATGGTATGTTTCAAACTCGTTCTTTATTTGATTTCTTCTTAATAATTGTATTTTCACATGTGTTTTGCATTTTTTGATAGGCAAATTCAGCATCAGGCATGGCAGTTCACGACGACTGCAAGCTAAAGTTTCTGGATCTTAAAGCCAAAAGAAAGTTCAGGTTCATCGTGTTCAAGATCGATGAGAATATCCAGCAGGTGATGGTCGAGAGAGTCGGTGGTCACGATGAAACCTACAACAACTTCCTCGCAGCCATCCCTGCTAATGAATGTCGTTACGCTGTCTATGATTTCGACTTCACAACCGACGAGAATTGTCAAAAGAGCAAGATCTTCTTTATTGCCTGGTATTATCCCCACATATTTATCATACTATTTAAATCACTAAATTAGATCGTCTTGATGTGAACTTTTAGATTGATTTACTAACTTACGAACCTTTTTTTTTTTCCTTAAAACTTTTATAATTTGTTTATGTAGGTCACCCGACTCGTCGAGAATAAGAAGTAAAATGTTGTATGCGAGCTCGAGGGATAGATTCAAGAGAGAATTGGATGGAATTCAAGTTGAGTTACAGGCAACAGATCCCAGTGAGATGAGCATTGATATCATTAAAGCAAGAGCTATCTGAATTCCCCCACAAACAAAAGTAAAAAAAAATAATTTTTTTTTTTTACTGCAACCAAACATTATTTTTTACCTTACAGTTTTACCCCACTCTCCTTATTTGTCAAAAGTCATTAGTTTTCCTTTTCTTTTGGGTCAATTCTCATATTGACACGTGTCATTTATTTATGAATTTTTATATTAAATTTAATAAAC